GAGAGAGAGAGAGAGAGAGAGAGAGAGAGAGAGAGAGAGAAGGGGGAAGGGAGGGTAACGAAGGAATGCAGGAAAATATATAACACTTTCAGTCAATAACAATCCTTGCTTCTATTTACCAATTTTAATCAACTTCATAGATAATCAAAGTTTCTGAAATTATTTCTAAAGGTCCTAGGTAGGTCAAAACAAACATGTCAATAAATTTGAAAGCCGATTTGCGTCATTGAAGGACCGGCGTGAATGAAATCTAAACATACAACGGTAAGCAGTGAGCTGAAAAAGTATTGAAATTGTATATTTATTGAGATAGCACCAAGACACGGATCCTGAATCCAGTTTGCACTTTTGGAATTTTCGTCACAGCCGAGTTTTTCTTTTTCCGTTTTCTTTCTTACTTTCTTTTTTTTTTTGGGTCGTATAATATAGTCTGTGGTATTCGCAGGGTGTGGTGACATCGCTCTGCTCTGTGGTGGAGATAAATACAGAAGCTTACTATTCGCCCGACGAATATGACAGGTCTTGGGAATACTTATTTTGAGACCAGAATAATATTATAACACAGGCCGTATTACAGTCCACCGAGGTTTTCTCTTCAGTCGTGATCAGGTCTTCCAATACTGAAGAGTTTTGAGAGGACGCATTTTTGGACTTTGGATAACAACCCGCTGTTTGGATTTATTTCGTTGCGCATTTTTGGTGAGGAATGTTCTAAAGGAGACATTTGTGTTTTTTCTGTGTGGATTTCGACATTTTGTGGACGTCAGACCCAAGGGCGTAACTGTACGTATAACTTATCCAAACGCTCGAGGTATCTGAGTAATGATAGGCCTAAAATAATTAGCGACGCGATAATAATTGTGATAGTGAAGAGAGTATTACTTTAAATGATACCTCCCAACAATAGCATAATATTAAGTGATTATAACAACAGCAGCAACAACAAAGCTACTACTACTACTACTACTGCTACTACTATTACTACTACTACTACTACTACTACTACTACTACTACTACTACTACTACTACTACGACTACGACTACGACTACGACCACGACCACGACGACTACTACTACAACAACTACTACTACTACTACTACTGCTAATGATAAGGATAATGATGGTAACAATGATAAAATATTGAAAACATGAAATAATAATAATGATAATAATGATGATAATAATAATAAGAAGAAGAAGAAGAAAAAGAAGAAGAAGAACAACAACAACAACAATAATAATAATAATAATAATAATAATAATAATAATAATCGTCATCATCATCATAGTCATCATTTTCCTCCTCCTCCTCCTCGTCATCATCATCATCATCATAATCATTTTATAACGACTTTTATCGAGAAAGTCAGCAAATTGAACCGCATAACCCTTCTGACAGGCAAACCCCTTAAGCCCAAATAGGAAAGACCATTTTTCGTTACAACTCATCACCAAAAACTACCTAATGTACATACAATCCACAGCCAACACAAAAGCATCTTGGAAAAATCAAACAAAATGAAAGCCTGTTTCCTCATTCCCCCCTTTGATTGCACTTCGTCAGCCTCCCAATCTTGGCATTCTCCTCATTCGCACTAGAGCAATAACACCCACGTCCTCACCTCCGGTAAACCCATGTTCTTCACCTCAAAATTATCTTTGTCAAAAACCTAGATGCAAAACATCTTACATGAGAGTGACCAACTTTGTAGAAGGCCTCGATTTTAAAAGAAAACTTTCTCACAGCATCATTTGTGAAAACAAAAATGTAATCTACCTTATATCTTGTAAAGGCTGTCCAGCTCAATATGTAGGTCAAACTACCACCACACATAGAGCTAGGTTTAATGACCATAGGTATTCAGTACACAAAAACTCATGCACTCCAGTTGGCCAACATTTCACAGTCCTGATCACAATGGAGCCTCCGATTTGCAGCTTCAGGGTATTGAAATAGTCCAATATCCAAATGAAGAAAAACTCAACCAAAGAGAATCAATGAGGATTTGGAACTTGGGGTCTCACAGAATTCTCACTGGCCTTAACATCGAAGAGCCACGTCGTTTTAAGGGCCTTAGATTTACAACGTTAAGTACTAATCCCCCCTTGTATTCCAGTGACACCCTTCCTTTGGCCCTACCTTTCCGTATTCATTACCTCCATGCACATGTTTCCCAAACAAAAGTCTGTCTCCTCTCTCTCTCTCTCTCTCTCTCTC